GCCCTGTCCGTGTGTCCCTGAGCCCTGTCTGTGAGTCCCCAAACACTGTTTGTGTGTCCCCAAGGACTGTTCATCAGTCCCTGAGGAGGCAAAGGCGGCAGAGGTGTCAGTGCCACAGCCACACAGGATGGGTCCCCACCGCCCTCGTAGCCGCGGTATGACGTCATCCTGCCGGGGACAAACACGGTATGACATAATCACCAGCCCCACACTCACCGTGACGTGACTGCCAGCAGCATTACGTCACCATCAGCAGCGTGACGTCATCCTCCCCCCTCACACGGCGGACGCGCCTTCCCGCCACCCTTCCGGCCAATCCGCGAGGCGCTTGCACCGCGGCCTCTGGCGGCCAATCGCGGGGGCGTTTACAGCCAGTGCCGGGATCGCCGCCGCCCCATTGGCCGCGCGGGGAGCACCGCCCGGCGGTGATTGGCGGGGGGCGTGTCCCGGGCGGCCTCGCGCCGTGAGGGCCCCGCGGGCCCGGTCCCGCCATGGCGGCGCCGCCCGGGCCGCGCAAGCGGAGCGGCCCCGCGCTGGGCGGGGGCAGCGGCGCCGGGGCCGCCCCGCCGGGACTCCACAACGGGCTCCCCCCGCACAAGCGCCCCAAGAGCGCCCCGGCCGGGCCCGCCGACCCCTTCGGGGACAGCGACGACTTCACGGCGGACGACCTGGAGCAGATCGACATCCTGGCCTCGCAGGCGCTGTCGCAGGATCCGCCCGCGGGACTCGCGTGGGGACCCCCGGGGCTGCCCCGGGGCGGGCGGGAAGGTCGGTGTGTCCCGGCACTGCCCCGCTGCTGGGGAAGGGCTTGTTGTCCCTTTAGGACTCATGGAATGGTTCGGGTTGTAAGGACCTGAAAGATCATCCAATTCCCACCTCCTGTCATGGTCAGGGACACCTCCCACTATCGCAGGGTGCTCCAAGCCCCGTCCAACCTGGCCTTGGACACTTCCAGGGATGGAGCAGCCACAGCTTCTCTGGGCAACCTGTGCCAGGGCCTCCCCACCCTCACAGGGAACAATATTTTACCAATATATCCTCTAAACCTGCTCTTTTTCAATTTGAACCCATCCCCTCGTGTCCTGTCACTATGTGCCCTTGTAGATACTCTTGCTCCAGCTTTCCTGTAAGTTCCCTTCAGGGAACTGCATCTGCTCTGGCCACCAGCACCCCCCCCAGTGTCAGAGAGATGGCTGGGATTCAAAGGAATAACAGAAATAACAAAGGGATAGTAATCCCAGCAGGCACATTGCACTGAGCTGTGCCCTGGGGTGTGTGTGGTGACCCTGGCCTGGGACGTGGGTGCTGCACTTTAAACCTGCCAAATAAACGAGTTTCATAAACTTTTAGCTTGCTGTAGTTATCATTCACAGTATCATCACTAACTTTTGTATCCTGGTTGGATGTCGGCCACCAGATTATTTTTTCCCTGTTAATTTTCACTAATAAATGCATAATGTATCGTATTAAAACAGCTGATTTTCAAGTTTGCCTTGAAGAAAGCAAAGCAAACCAGGGGGTTGTTCATAATGAAGTTTAGAGGGCTTAAATCCTCTTAAGTTTAATGTTTTGGCAGTGCTGACACCTGTCATCTCTCCAGGTGAACAAGTTCTCAGTGAACCCTTGTTTGTGCAGGGTGTGTGTTAACTAGTTACCTGGAAGGAATTGCTCACATTTGCTGATGGCCTTCTTTCTGCTTTAAGATACTAAAAGATCTTTAAAGTCCCTTCCAACCCAAACCATTAGATTAGAAATTGGGGGGTGGGAGGGTGTTCTCTGTTTTAAGGATTGATGCACAAGGTTCCTGTGGTGGTTAGGTGAGGCAGTTTACCTGTTTGTGATGATGGTATAAATACTAAGATATTCAGATGTGTGAAATGGCAAATAACATGGTGTTGAGTGATGTTCACACATCATCTGTGCTTCACATCTTGGCTTTTCTCTGCAGCAGAAAGCAGAGCAGAAGATGGGCTGATGAGAGATGCATTCCAGTTTGAAGTACTGCAGACACAGAATGAAGAAAACAAACAGAAGGTTGGCAACATTCTCCCCTCACCTCTAAATGTCACATTTTTGGTAGGGCTGACTGAAAGGTGGGATAAGTCCAGTTCCAAACATTTAATTCTAATCAAGTTGATCAATAATCATTGTAATCCAGGGGTCTGTTAAAATCATTATACTAGAAACAGCTCTAGTAATAATTAAGACTGGTCACTTCAGAGTAGCAAATGCTAATTTGTCAGTTTGACTTGTTCCCTGTCAAATCAATTCTCTGTCCTGTCAGCCAGTCAGCAGGAGTTGTTCTGTGCAACTTAAAGATTTGAGAAAGCAAAGTGACTTTAAAATGGCTTCATGTTACTTCACCTCCTGCTGATCCATTATGGAAAGATACTTAGGGCAAGAAACAGATGTAGAAAAGTAAGAAGGCACAAATTCCTGTACAAAATCTCTCCTTTTTTGGTGCACAGCTTAGGAAGGAAATAAGCCTTGAACAAGTTTATGTTTTACCAGAACAGCCTTTTAGCCTCTGATCAAATTTCATGTAGGTACTTCCTGATACAGAAATATTATATGTGGATTTAATAGTCTATTGTGTATGTTTTTTAAACACTCTGTGTTTGGGTTTGGATACCTTTTACAGGGAAAGAGGTCAGCAGTTTAATGACTCACTGTGTCACGAAATTTTTTCTTTGATTTAATTTTGAACTTAATAAGTGGGTGTGTCATGGCTGCTGTGAGAGACAATAAACAGAGGATAACTTGTGCACTTGCACCTCGATTGATCTTTGTTTCTTTGTGCTTTCCCCCAGCTGGGAGGGTCCTACTCTATTTACCTTTCTTACCTCTGTTCTCTGAATCTTTCCCAGCTCTGTTATATCCATCTTTATCAGGGAATCTCCTACCTGTAAACCATCATTTTACAGTTGTGTAGAGGTGTCTTCTTGCTTTTTTCTTCACGCATTTCTGAGTAACTCATTTATTATCTCTCCAAAGTCTTGTTTCTGGGTGGTGATTTCTGCTCAGTAAGTATTAGAGAGTAAATATGTCATGAAGATACTGTCTGGGTGTGGTACCTTGTCTTAGGACAGAGTTCTTGTTGCCTGCCCTGCTAAATGAAATATTACAATGAAATTAGCAGTGTTATCATCCCAATAATGAATAAATTGTTGATGTGTATGACTAGAAGACTTTTAAAGAAAAAGTAACAATTGCAGAGGAGGGGAAAGAGAAGGATGGTCTTTGGCAGATATCAGAATGGTACATGAACATGTTTCTTTGCTGTCATTTATAATTCTGTTAGAGAAAACAGCAGCTGAGTTTCCTGATTTAATCAGGAAAAGGTTAGAGGCAACATTGCAGAATTTCTGAACTGGGTTGCAGGAGCATTTTCCTCCCTAGAAATTATAAATAAAGACCTAATTTTCAACCACACAGTGATGCAAATACATACTTTTGGCTATGTACATCCTTTAATGGAATTTCTCTGTTGGCAGCTGAAAGAAATGCAGGATGAAATCCTCACTAAAAATGGAGAAATTAAAATTCTGCGTGACTCACTGCAGCAGATGAGGTTTGCTGTGGAGGAACAGAAAAGATCATACCTGCTGCTGGAACAGCAAAAATCTCAGACCTTGAGTGAAAAAGAAAAAGAGTTCTCCAAAAAGGTTTGTAAATATATCAATTCCCTGCAGATCAGATATAGAAGCCAGTTTATGACTTAATGACCATTTAGTCAGAGGAAGAACATTGGTGTGAAATGTCCAAACGATGCATGCTTTTATTTTCTTATCTAAAAGAAAGCATTTGTAAGAACTTGCAGAGGGTTTTCTCTTGCCAAAACAAAAGAGTAAAATTCAGGTGGTAGAGGTTTTCATTTGCTGCCTTTTTTTTTAAGCAACCCCAAGACCATTAAAACTGGAATGTATTTTACGATGGAAAAAAGAGACAGAGCATGCTCCATGCCTCTGATCAGGTTGCTGTTCCTGTTGCAGTCATCTTTCTGAGAGCCCTGGAGAGGACAGGGGCTGCTTTTGTGCTGTTCACTTTGGTCATGCTCTTCGTGGCACTTGGTCTGTCTTAGCCAGTCCCAAATGCTTCTTGCCTGAACTTCTGGCACTTGGTTCTCAGATAGTGTTATTTGGACTAAGATTCATAAAAATGGAGATCTTGTGCAGAGTTTCACAGTAAGTAGATGCTTATCTTGAAC